CGGAACAACTGCTTTCCTGGAGCTCATGGGCTGCTCATTTAAACTGGGGGAGATGTGGGTTGCCTTTCTAGTGTCCAAGTGTTTAAAGTAAGTGAAAAGAGAAAAGAAACACACATTTTGTTAGAAATTACCACATGCTGGCAGCTATCAAAGCACAAATAATGGGGGTTTTGCAAGTTTAGTTTCTATTGAAACCTGACACACTGCAACTCCAGTCACAATATGATGCTATTTCAGTATTAGGTAATACACCATCCAACTAGCTAAAAGCAAATATTGGACAATCGATCTGGGACATTTTTCCAACTATTTCTCTTTTCATCAGGAAAAATAATAAAAGAAAGTCTGCAGCTGCTTCTACAGGGTTATGAACTTTTCTGGTCATTAGCTACAATTAACTGTATAATGACACGGTTTGCTCTTTCATGCTTGCTAGCAGCCCAATGCTGGTTTATCTGAAGTGGAGAGGGCAATGTAGGGGGTTGAATTGCTCATAGATCAGTCTTTTCATAAATCTCTGTTAAACGGCTGTCATCTATTCCCTGGTAAGTTCTTGGGATGCTGTAGATCCAACTAAATGAAAATGTGACACTTTTCCATCTTCACATGAGCCAACAAAAAAGAACAAGCAGTAACATCCCTTTCGGTGCTTGCATACAGAAATTAGAGCGCCCATTGATTGCTGAAAGACAAATAAGGGTCTCACAGCACCCTCTGGAAACCTCTGCCTAGATTCATGTCCCACTGAGTGAGGTTCTGATCAAATGAATAAATTAAACCTAACCTTTAACATTCACAGCCTGAAGACAGCCCAGACAAGAACGAGAGGACAAATCAGCATCACAAAGTGGACGGGGTTGCCCAATGTGAGAGTGAAGTAGAACATGATGCTTCCAGCTCTGCATTTAGGATTAGGCGTCCTTCTGATGAGATACTATTTGTTCTGTTGTATTCACGTCTTATTAACAAAGGATAACACCTGCAAACATGTCCCTTTAACTGAAGCTCTTACCTCCCTTTTAAAAAAGGAGACTTTCAGCAGATGACTATTTGCCCAGTTCACCCCAGATAATAACCTACATAACCTAGGAGGAGGTGCAACTCTGGCATTGCAGCCTCTCCATCTCCTTCCTCCCCCAGCACAGGCACAGAGGACAATCACCCAGAGGACAATCACAGACCAGGCTGAAGGAGGACATGCACCTTTGACAGCCTTTCTGCATGTAGTGTCTAGGGAGGACTGTCAAGATATTCTGTCTGAAGCAGTGTGGTAATGGTAAGGTGGCACCAACCCAAGCCATAGTTTGTGGCAGAAGCTCATAATATTTGTGTAGTCCTATCATATATGATAGGAAATAGATTTACGTTTCTGTAGAGACTTAAAGAGAGAATGGACAGCAAAGGCCAAATCCTGTTTGTGTTATTTAGAGAAGCATGCTTGTCTGACCTTCTAAGAGATCTTTCTAAGATCACAGCTGAATGGTGAATTACTTCTAATCATTCCCCATGGGCAAGCTCTGGAGGTCCCCCTTTGCTCAGGGCTCCAACTCTGAGAGCCACTGGAGATTCCCAAGCACCTAGATGCCCGGGAGGACTGACTGCAGGGGAGTCAAACCCAGCCTAGAGCCTCGGTCCTTGGGCAGAGGAGGGCTGAAGCAAAGCAAGAAGTGATGCTCATCCAGCCCTGCTGCCTTCCAGACAAGAGGTTCACAGCACATGCTGAGAGTACTGCTCTGTCAGTATTTCTACTGAGAAATGTTTTGACACTGTTTTTCCTAGCACTATATTAAACAGCTGGTTATTTCTGCTACCAGCCCCACGGTAAAGAGTTTCAGCTGATCTAATTCCATGGTCTAAAGCATTTTTTCACTGCTAAAAGCTTACAATCTTGGATTGTCTGCTCTTCTGATGTCCAAAGGAGATCAGGACACAGCATTAACACAAAACAGACGGGCCTTGGCAGAGCAAATGTAAGCTGACAAGACACAAGCAGAACGAGTGGGGTCTTGTTTCCTGAGATTATAAGAAAAATCAACAATCAAATTCTGCCTCATCCCTCTGCCATCACCCAGGCAGTTGGGTTGACCACAGCTGGGCAAATCTCTGCCATTGAGCTAATTCTCTAAATACTTTGGCATAACTTTGTACAGCCCAGCGATGAAAGAAAACAGCTAAGTCCTTATACATAAAAACCACATGATTAAATGGTTAAAGGGACTAGAGGCCTTTCCCATCGACCTGTCCTTTACCAAGGAAAAGTTTGAGTGAGAGCACATAAACTGGTCAGCCAGTCTCAGTGTGAGTTAACATGGTGTCCTCAGTGCATAGATTCAAATTAACTAGAATAATCCAAAGATGCCTAAGCAAGAAGGATACGTACTAAAAGTGGGGTGGGGAAAGAGAGTGGTTCTGACCACAGAAATAAGGGTGTTTCTAAAAACCAGGGTGGCGAGATGACGTGGAAAGCAGACACAGTTCCAATGTGCTGATGAAAGCACCTCTCACCTTCAGTCCCCAGTGCTCCCTGCGTGTCAGAGATCTGTCCTTGTGAGGCCTTGTAGGAGTGAAGACCTGGGCCCTGTCCCTAATCTGCGCCCCAGAGATGGGCTCTTGTGTGCACCACACTGTTACCTGTCTCCCTGACAAAGGACAGAGATAATGTCCTCCTCCAGCTCATCAGCGTGTGCATCTCTAAAATAAATTAACCGCAGCAGCCACTTCCGGTTTTCTCAAACAATTTAAGACTTTGTTCTCAAATTAGCCTACAGAGAAAACATGTACAGAGCAGGGGCAAAGGGATTATGGGCTTGATTCTCAGGTTGCTTATTCCTACTCTGCTCTGCTCCAATGTCATTTCATAGGATTTGCTCTCATTTTCATCAACATGACAGTGATCAGCATCTTGATGTGTCCCTATTCACCTCCTGGAGAAGGTTAATGTGTTTCTGTTCTAAAGTTTGTTACGTAAGAAAGGGGATGCTTAGCTCCCATGTCAATAAATTGTTCTTACAAACTCACCCGAGCTTTGATCCTCAAAGTGGACATTAATTTCAGCAGGTGCAGGGAAAGATCCTCAGTCCTGCAAGGAACCTGAGATGTCTGTTTTAATAATAGACTGTGCAGTGGCCAAATATTTGAAACTCACTTCTGAGTAAGATCATTTAAAGTTTTAAAATTGCTGTGCCTCTTCATTAATTCAATAGCATGTGGAAATGCTGCTGGATCAAATATAGTGTGTTCTATGCCTTCAAGAATAAAAAATGCTGAATATTTTTGGTGAGCATTACTTTATATCTAAGTGGGAGAGCTGAGATATTTTGTACTGTTCGGTACAGTCCCAACGTTACCTGGTGCTTCCCATCTTGGTGAAGGTGTCCTTCTGCCTCTTGCCATTCTTGGAAGAGGCTGCCTGGAGAGGTCGTGAAATCTCCCTCCTTGGAGATATTTGAAACTCAGCTGGACATGTGCCCGTGCAACCCAACCTGACTAGAACCACTTCAAGTAGGAGTTGGACTGGATGACCTCCAAGGTGTCCCTAAATTATTCTATGACTTCTTTAAAAGCCTTTTGAACAAGAGTTACTAGTTCTTTGTTGGCTCAGTGTCATGGGCATAAGAAGGACAAAAAGATGAACGAAAGGGCTTTTTCTAGGAAAGATGCAATAAATTCCAAAATTATTGGGTTAAGTAGTACAGAATAAGGCTCTTGGGAGAAAGAAAATTATGCAGTGCAATGAAAACGGAGCCCATATGCTCCCCCAAATAATTTTTCTAGTTTTTCAGCCGCATCAATAGATAATATTCCCATTTTTGCCAGACGGCAAAACTTCATCTAAGTCAGAACATTGCAGAAGTGTTTCAGATAGTATGAACGAATCATTAAATGTCAATCTTCCTCAAAGCAAATGTTGACCTACAAATGATCAAATGATCTGATGCTTAAATCCCTGGATTATTTTTCTGTCTTCACTGCAGGTGTCCTGTATGTCCTTGGCACTCACTCTGACAGGGAATCAACTCAGTTAACTTTAGACACCTAAATTTAATCACTTAGTTGTCTAGACTCAAAGTACATAGAGAGCAAAACACCTCAGGACAAGTGGTATCACTTTGTACGCTTACCTCAGCGTGGCTCAAGTTATTGGAGATGTTTTTCACTTCACCCCTCTTTGTAGGCCAAGTCTTTGCACTTTGCCTGCTGAGATGACCGTCCCATGGACCAGGGGTTATTTCTTTCTCTGTTTCTGTAGCTGCCCTTGGCTGGCATGAGGATACAGCCCAACGTGTTGTCAAAGCTGTCATGACCAGGAGCACTGAACCAAGACACCCCATCGTCCTACCAGCCAACCAAGCACATCCACAAGAGTCCCAGCATGGGGACAACGTGTGCACCTCTCATATGACAGCGGTGGCAGCAGCTCTTTCTGGCCAAGGCACAGAAATGGTCTGCCCAGGCATATGCACTACAGTGATTTTCACCAAGGATCTCATTCGGCTACCACTGCACACTTTCACAATAAAAGTGAAGAGCTAGCTCAGATTATGCTCGCAAAGGTCTGATCTAATCCTATTTTATATTCCATTACTTTGCTAAAAGGAACCAGGAGGTAGGAGACATTTTGGTGTTCGGCCTGGAGCAATGCGTTATCATAAATTCTCCACACAGCACCAGAAATGTGTGATCCGCACTTTGAATAAATATTTAACACCTAAAATGGAGACTCCAGCTTTGATTAGGGATCACACTTGGGAATAAATTGTCACTACTTTTTAAATAGCTTCAGTTAAGCTGTAGCAGGTTATATAGAGCAGTTACATAAAGCTGTACACGAAGAATGGTTTCTGTCACCACACCAGGAGCACAGTATGAGTTATACAATACTTAGACTGATACACTCTATCCAAGGATATCCATATTCCTCATCCCGAAATTGCATAACAGACATTTATATCACAGGCATGAAAATTAATTTTCAGAGGAATATGTATTAATTTTATTCAAACACAGGATTAAACATTTTCAAAGAAGTTTTAAAGTCCAAATTCGAGTTGAATTGCCATAACTTTTCAGTGCTTGATCTTCTCTTCTTCTGAGAAGAATTATATCCAAGATGGTAATGTTTTTTCAAATGTTCTAATCAATCGTTTCTGGAGAATATCCCAATGTAACCACAGAGTTTGCTGTTTAAAAAGAATTGACCACTCATAATCAAGAGTAACACTGTGGTTAATGACTCTGACTCATTCCAAGGCAGTAAACACACACACACACACACATATACACACAAAAACACAATTAAAATAATTAGAGTTAAAATAATTAGTTGTAAAAATAAATTTTTAAAAAAGATGTTTTAGTTTCAATAACGTTTTATACAGCATTATAAAACCATGTAACTATTTTCAAACACCTGAAAAAGTCCTGTTAGGATCAATAATTCTTTCCTCTTTTAGACATCTTCTTGCATACTTACAAAACAAAAATGCCTTTCCTTCTCCAGAGCCTTCACGGTCTCAAAGTGAAGTAAAAGTAATGAGGGAAAAAGGTAATTTGTCTCCAGTACAAGAGACATTATTTTGCATTGGAGAACCAACCCAGCTGGTTTCTGCGCCTCCAGAACCTGGGAGACTCTCGGTGGTCTGCAGAGGGAAAAGAATCAGCTACAGCAGCACTAATTTACAGCAGTTACAGGAAGAGCCTCACTGCCTGCATAGGAACCAGTCCTGCAGGGCCATGGAGGAGAGAGCAAGAGAGAACCAAACAACCACCCAACGGAGGCAATCTAGAAGTGCAAAATGCATTTACCTGAAACCCTAAGTGAGGAGCAGGTAGGTCAAACACTTATCCAAAGAGGAGGCTAGGTCAGCCCCATTGCCAAGCCCTTTGCCCTCCTCATGGCAACACAGGTGCCTTGGACAACCTGCACTGCCTGATTTGCAGCTGTCAGCACCATTGGACAAGGGTGAGCATCTTCATTAGACATCCCTCCTCAGAGACAGGCTCCAGCAATCCTGGACCAAACCATGGAAAATCCAGCCCAGGAACGTTGCTGAGGTGGTCCAGGTGGCCCTAGAGACATGAGATGCACATCACCATAGGGACAGGAGCTAGATGTTCCAACTTTCTCCTAACTGCTCAGGACCTCAGCTTACATGCCCCCTAGGCACTGCTGATCTGGGCATGGCTTTCAGTCCTGCTGTGTTTTCTTTCCCCAGGACCAGGACGCTGCTATTTTCATTTGCAGTTCTATCTGCTTCCCTGCCCCAACGTCACTCCTCTTGGAAGGCTGCAGTTCAAAGTACTGACAAACAGCAAGTAAAGCAGCTTCCCTACCTTTCCTAATAAAGATTTTCACTGTCTTCCACGACTTTCCTAAGACGAAAAAAATATATAGTAGATAAGTAGTTCACTTCCCAAGGGACCAAGTGCATGTAGCTGCTTGGCCAAACCCTCTAATCACCCTCTGGAACTGATGGCACTTCAGAGACCACGCTAGATGACTTGCAATTGAATCCATATTTCACATGCTATGAGCACAGGTAATAACTGGAATTATCCAGGGTGATATCCTACCACTTCACTTAAACTATCATAAACCGTTATCCGATACTTTCATTCATTCAGAACAAGGAGGTAGGCCTGGATCCAGAAAGCTTTTTCAGCCCCTGCCACTCACTAAATCCAAGGGGATGCAGGTGCCAGCAGACTCCTGTGGCTCCAGCAGGACTCGCTTCCTCTGCTTTGCCCGTGCTCCAATCCATTTGCCGTTAGAACAGACCAAGGGATATGGAGAGCAGAACATTGAAAACCCACCAGCACCCCACAGAAACATGGTTGGCCCATTAAAGCTTTGTCAAGGACACTTATTCTATAACACATTTCACCTGTTGTGAGAGGAAGAATTGAATCCTCTTTGAGGTTTCTCACAGCCATCTCAGTCAAAGGTACCTCATTATTGAATGCACGTATCTGGCGTGCAGAGCCTGACGCTGCCCCGTGGTGGCACTTTGTGCAGCTCTCACACACGGCAGCAGAGCCACAGTGTCCCAGGGCTGACGGAGGCGCTGCCGGCCAGCCCCGCCACTCATTACGAGCAGGCTCTCATGCATGCACCACAATCCACTTCCATACAGCTCATTTGTAATGATGTGCACCTAAATCATTGTGCTCAACACTTCAGCAAATGTCCTTTCATGGGGACAGGACTTAAAAGGACAGAACTCTCTTCAAGAGCCCCTTCCAGCCACTACTGCCAAGGGCACGTTGCATTTGTTGGGAAGAAGCATTGGGACACTAGGAATCCCTGAAGCAATTCCCACTGAAGACAGTGTGACAGAATTGCACCTGCTCTGTCCGACGCCTGGACCCATCACCTACAGCCAGTGGTGGCCACAGAGGAAGATGGTGGAGGCAGCCATGAGGTGCTAGGCCAGAGGAACCTTCTCGTCTCCATGTTCATACGAGAGGGGCTTCCTGGGAGCCCCAACTGGCCATGTGGGTGGGTCCTCCAGGACAAGTTTCTGTGGGGCAACCCCCCATAGGGTGAGACAGACCCAGTAGGGAGCATGGGAGGTCAGGAAGTGGGGCTGAAACCCTGCAGACAGGCTGTCCTAACCTCACAGTGTGTGTGATGGCTACACACACCCCACTCACGTAAAGAGAGCTCCTGGCCCCAGAGGGCTGTAGAAGGAGCTGAGGATCTCCCTTCCCTTTGCTGAGGCTGAGGAAACCATCAGCTCAGGGTCTGAGGAAGGAAGATGACTTGGAGGTTTGTGCTGTGCTAAGAACATAAACCAAAAGCTAGTCAAAGACAGAGATCAACTGCTGCAGGAGGATGCTTGGGACAAAATGGGGAGCCCTTGGGAAAAGGAAGGTAGTGTCAAGAACAACATGAAGGTTTACCAGAAGAGAGCACTGTCAAGAGAAAACATGAGTTCCGTTTTGTGTGAAATGCTGACAAATACCTTGCCTAGCCTAAAAGAAACAAAAACGTTTCTTGATGATTTTTTGAAGGTTTACAGAAAACCTTTCAGTAAATGTCATATGGATTTTCTCCCCTCTTGCAGCTGCAGCAAGAGTCATGGGAAAGGAGATTATGCCCAAGAGCTGGAAAAGGCCAAGTTTTAGCATACATCCTCTCACTCTTGAGAGGATGAATCAGCCACATATCATAGCAGGTGACCACCAGTGGTGGTCAGGGTTGTCACTTCCCAGGGATGCTCCTCTTTCAGGCAGCCTCTTTGGCATGAGCTGCCATAGGGACCACAAGGATTCATCAGGATCTCGAGGGCTCCAGCAGAAGCAGCACAGAAATGATGCTAATGCCAGTTCAACTGATGGGAACACAATGGAGCATCGGGGAGCAGGCAGAAACTTTCTTTGGTGCCTGCTCAGATCCTTAATCCAGCTGAATGATCTTGCTAGAGCCAGTAAGAGATGCAGAAGACCGTAAAGGAGAACTGAAATCACCTGCTGTGGGTAAGCAGATTGGAAATATTGGACAGGGAGAAACTCCTCTGGTGTCGGTCACTTCAAGCACTTCAGCTCTGCACATTCCTGAAGACGTCACCACACGGGATCAGGACTCGGTGCTATGGAAGTGACTGAGGAAGTGGCCCCACGGGACGGTGTGTTTTGCAGCACAAGTGGAGCCCCAGCGAGGGCAGGACACGGGGGCACTGCCAGGATGCAGCAGCGTTGGCAGCCGGGCAGAGGCAGCTGTGGCAGAGCAGAGCTCCAGCACTGCAGACATTGACAGAGCTCGGCAGGGCGCAGCGCTCATCTGGAGGCAGGAGGAGAGAAATGAGAACAGGAATTAATTACAGAAAAACAGATAGAGCTGGTACCTGCTACAAATGAAAGAAAATTGAAAAACGGTCACAGCCTTCAACAGTAATAAAAAGAAAGTGGTTCAGTCTGTGGATGGGAGGCTAAAAGTGGATCCTGCAAAAGCACAAAAGGACCAAGGTCGCTGCTTGACTTTGTTATTTGCAGGAGAAAGGAGCCGTGTTGTGGGTAAAGCCCACATGGAGTTTCCAAAGAAACCCATGACCCTTATCAGACCTTCTCACTACAAAACCAAACAAAATTCAGATGTAGTAAATTGAAAATGCAGAACATCTCTGCCAGGGCACCCAAAATCCAGGAAGAACCCTGTGTGCCAGCTGTGGGAAGGCACTTCTTCACCACACCTTGCAAGGTGGATATGTAAAGAGGAGGCATCACACCATAGTCCTGATGGGCTCCAGCTGGTGTGAGTTGTTTCCAGCCAGAAACCCTCTCTGGTGAGGCCCGGAGAGCCTCTTCCTCCAAGGTGAGGAACCTGGGTGTATTGGATAGGTTATCAGAGACAGCAACTCTGCAAAGCAAAGTCTGTCTGACCTGAAGAGACACTGAGAGGAGACCAGTATCAGCTCCCTGGATCACAGGGAAGTGACAGCAGGGAAGAGCTTGTGCCTTTTATCCACTTTTATCCAGCAAAGGCAATAGATGGGGCAAACATAAGTTATAGGGAAAAAACAGGTGTTATACTTCATAACATGAAGTACATAATCGTATCAGAGAAATGCACAGTAAGACATCACAGGTGAACAGAATTGAGTTTTTCTTAGTCACCTGCTCTCATCTGTTTGAACTTAATGACCTCTCTTCCAAAGAGATTTTAGATAATGTACTTTGCACATGCACATACACATATCTATGCTGGGTAGGATGTGATTGACAGTGATTAATTAAAGTGCTATAACAGTTATCCATATGTTTGATTGATTGATAGATGAGACAGAGCTGTGGGTGCATGTATAACAGAACAGCAAGTAATCATACACATCTAGGGTCTCACTAATCCTAGTCAAGAAAGGCCTTGGCTGCTTGGCAGTGTCCTCAAGTTGTCTATGTTTGTCGCCAGGTTTTAATCACTGTTAAATCACACCATATGACTTGTGCTTTGGAGCACTTTGTCAACATCAAAAATAAATATTATTCCTACAAGGAATCCAGCTGGCCTCTAATTAGATTTCAGAAATATATCAATTAACGTGTTAATGTGCTGTCCAATGATGAAAGCCTCCATCTCATCAGCTTCTAGAAGATCAATATGACTGTATAATATGAGATATCAATCAATTTATTTTCCTGCCAAATGAATCAATATGGTTCTTTTAATGGTACCAATCATTAAGTAGCTGTTATCAGTCCAGAAGAAGACCCCAAACTAAAAGCAAACAAAACAAATTGTATTTATTCAGGTAGTATTTTCCAAGAGTTGCAAAAGTCCTTTGTCCCAGTACTTCTTACTGCAGAGAAAGGGCATTTCACCAACAAAGGCAAGACAATTAGTGCAGGTGACAATTAGTATAGGTGATCAGTGTCCCGAACGTCATGCTATGCATTAAATGGCAAAGCTGCCTTTTTTTTTTTTTTTTTTCCTGAGGAGCTATGTGTCTCTGTTATATTTCTCATAAGAAAGTGGCTAATCGCGTTCATTTCTTTGGAAGTCCCCATCTTTGGAATCCCCATCCCTCTCATGGCCATGTCAGTGGTGTCTGAAATCCCTTGAAGACAGACTTGCTGTATTA